TAGCACAGGCAAAGACTTCTTGGAAAAGACCCTTAGAGGCACAGGCAATCAAAGCCAAAATTGACAAATGGGATTACATCAAATTGAGAAGCTTCTGCACTGCAAAAGAAACACTCAGCAAAATGAAGAGGCAACTGAGAGACTGAGAGAAAATATATGCAAACTATTAAACTGATGAAAGATTAATATATATACAGAATATATACAGGAACTCAAGAAACTCAACAACAATGAAACAACCCAGTTAAGAAATGGGCAAAGGATTTAAACACACATTTTTATTTATTTTATTTTTATTGTTTTTTACAGGTAAAGTGGACAGTGAGAGAGAGAGACAGACAGAAAGGCTTACTTTTCCGTTGGTTCAATCCCCAATGGCCGCTGTGGCCAGCGTGCTGTGGCCTGCACACTATGTTGATCCGAAGCCAGGAGCCAGGTGCTTCCTCCTGGTCTCCCATGGGGTGCAGGGCCCAAGCACTTGGGCCATCCTCCACTGCCTTTCCGGGCCACAGCAGAGAGCTGGACTGGAAGAGGGGCAACTGGGACAGAATCCGGCGCCCCGACTAGGACTAGAAGCTGGGTGGGCCGGCGCTACGGCTCAATAGGCTAATCTTCCACCTGCGGTGCTGGCACACCGGGTTCTAGTCCTGGTCAGGGCGCCGGATTCTGTCCCGGTTGCCCCTCTTCCAATCCAGCTCTCTGCTGTGGCCCAGGAGTGCAGTGGAGGATGGCCCAAGTGCTTGGGCCCTGCACCCCATGGGAGACCAGGAGAAGCACCTGGCTCCTGCCATCGGATCAGCGCAGTGTGTCAGCCGTGGCGGCCACTGGAGGGTGAACCAACTACAAAGGAAGACCTTTCTCTCTGTCTCTCTCTCTCACTGTCCACTCTGCCTGTCAAAAAAAAAAAAAAAAAAAAAAAAAAAAAAAAAAAAAAAAAAAAAAAAAAGAGGCTGGGGTGCTGGCGCCGCAGGTGGAGGATTAGCCTAGTGAGCTGCGGCGCCGCCTAAACAGACATTTTTCAACAGAGGAAATACAAATGGCAACAGACACATGAAAAAATGCTTAGGATCACTAGCCACCAAGGAAATCTAAACCAAAACCACAATGAGGTTTCACCTTACCCTCTTAGAATGGCTTTCAAACAGAAATCAAGCAATAAATGCTGGTGAGGATGTAAGGAAAAAGGTACCCTAATTCACTGCTCGTGGGAATGTAAACTGGTATAGCCACTGTGGAAGACAGTATTGAGTTACCTCAGAAATCTGAATATAGACCTACCAGCCATCCCACTCCTGGGAATATACCCAAGGGAAATGAAATCAGCATATCAAAGAGCTATCCGTACCCCCATGTTGACTGCAGCTCAATTCACAATAGCTAAGATATGGAATCAACCCAATTGCAGTCAACTGAAGACTGGATAAAGAAAATTATGGGAAATGTACACCATGGGGTAATACACAGGGGTAAAAAAATGAAATCCTGTCATTTGCAACAAAATGGATACAACTGGAAAACATTATACTTAGTGAAATAAGCGAGTCCCAAGAGGACAAATACCACATGTTCTCCCTGACCTGTGGTACTAACAGAGCACCTAAACGATAATCTATGGAAGTGGACTGACACTTTGAGAAGACTTTGAACAGCCCTTGTCTTGACTGTTGAGGAACAGTTTTGTTTTTTAATGCTATTTGTGGAACACTTTACTTAGAATAATCTTCTGTGTATAATGTTAATTGAAAATAGATGTTAGTAAAAAAATAAGAATGGGAATGGAGAGGGAGGAAGAGAAAGGGTGGGAGTGCAGTTAGGATGGGAAGAATCACTGTGTCCCTAAAGTTGTATTTATGAAATGCAGTAAGTTTTCATATCTTAAATAAAAGGTTGCTGGGGAGAAAAATAAAGGGAAGGTATGATGGAGAATTGAAAAAAAAAAGAAAAAATAAATATCCTGGTGATCAGGGAGATGTACTGTTTTGGAACAAGGACTGTTTCTATAAATGGAATAAAATGCCCCTGAACATTAATCTGCTTTGTTTCTAATGGTTCTGAGCATACCAAGTAAGCTCATGTAGTTCATCTAGTTGTGTTTGTATCATGACGCCAAAAAGACATGATGTTACCAAGAACCAAAGGAAAAGTTCACATGCAAATGGACAACCTGGTTATCTAGTTTAAGAATTAATCTCTCAGGTCTGGCACTGTGGCGTAGAGGGTTAAGCCTCTGGCTGCAGCGCCAGCATCCCATATTGGCACCAGTTAAAGTCCTGGCTGCTCTACTTCTGATCTAGCTCCCTGCTGAAGTGCCTGGGATAGCAGTGGAACATGGCTCAAGTGTTTGGGCTCCTGCATACACGTGGGAGGCCTAGATGAATCTCCTGGCTCCTGCATTTGGCCTGGCCCAGCCTTAGCCGTTACAATCATTTGGAGAGTGAACAAATAGATGGAAGACTTCTCTGTGATTCTGCCTTTCAAATAAAATAAATCTTCTAAAAAAAAAAAAAAAAACAGAAATAAAAGAATTAATCTCTCTGGAGTTGGTAAGTGTTAATACGTTTCCTTAAAGTCCAATAATTTCTGGTAGAATGCATGAAACACAATTGCTAAACCCACAAAGGTCAAAGTCACAAATTCCCCTTTGAGGTTTAGTTTGCATATTTAGATATCATATACAACAATCTCAGAAGGAAAAATGTTTTAAAAATTGCTAAATATGTTAATGTAACCTACACAGAAAGGTAAACATCACATTTCATTAAAAATATTTATTACATATAGGAACATAAAGTTATATAGGACAAGGGATGTTAGAGGCTCACATAGTCAGGAAACCAACCATACAAGCAATTAATGTTGTATGAAATGTGCTTTATGTAGCAGATAAAGCCACTGCCTGTGATCCTGGCATCCCAAATGGGTGCTGGTTCTAGTCCTGGCTGCACCACTTCCAATCCAGCTCCCTACTAAGGCACCTAGGAAAGCAGCAAAAGATGGCTCAAGCATTTAGGCCTCTGCTCCCACATGGGAGAACCAGAAGTTCCTGGCTCCTGATTTCAGACTGACCCAGCTCTAGCCATCACGGCCATCTGGGGAGTGAACTAGAAAATGGAAGATATTCTCTCTCTCTTTCTGCCTCTGCCTCTGCCTCTCCTTCTCTGTAACCCTGACTTTCAAATAAATAAATCCATCTTACAAACAAACAAAAAAAAAAAAAAAAAGGAAAAGAAATGTGCCTCAACAAAAAGTAGAAACAAGTCAGTAGGTGGGGTACCTAACACTTGGAAACTTGGAAACCTTTGTGAATGCCTCACAGAGAGGGTGACTTTTTGAGTGACTTTCTCTCTTTTTTTTTTTAAAGATTTGTCTATTTATTTGAAAGGCAAAATTAGAGAGAGACAATGAGACAGAGAAAGAGATCTTCCATCTTCCGGTTCATTTCCCAAATGGTCCCAACTGCTGGGGCTGGACCAGGCTGCAGCCAGGAGCCTGGAGCTTCTTCTAGTTCTCCCACGTATGTGCAGGTGCCCAAGGACTTTGGGTTATCTTCTGCTGCTTTCCAAGGTACGTTAACAGGGAGCTGGATCAGAAGCAGAGCAGCCGAGACTTGAACCAACATCCCTATGGGACGCTGGAACTGCAGATGGCGGCTTCTCCCACTAGGCCACAGCACCGGCCTCTAGGTGGTGACTTTTGAGCTGGGTCTTGAACACGTGTGGGAGTTATCCATATAAAGCAGAGTCCCTAGAGGCCATTTCCAGCCTGACCAAGTGACATGGAGGCTCAAAACAGCATGGGATGAGGGGAATAAAGACCAGAATGCCTTATGACCCAAACTAAGACTTCTGGATTCTTCCTACAGAGAGCTACAGAAAAATTTGAATCTAGGCAACTTACCTGATCAGATTTTAGAAGCAACTCTTGGGACACATGAGAAACTGGTGGCAGTGGTTACTTCTACTTTTTAAATTCTGTATTGATTACATGTCCTCTCTTCCTCTCCATGTATATAGGCTATGCAACAGTGCAGGCAGAAATGAAGAGAATCTGAATTCAGGCAGTGGCAGAGGAAACAGGTGACGAGAAGACAGATTCAACAGGTCTTAGAGACTGATTAGGATATAGTGCTGCCAGACTAGAAACACAGGAATTAGAAGCAGTTCAGAAAATTGAGTGAAAGTGAGGACAAGTTCAACTCTGTATATGTTAAATATGTGGAAATAAGATCTAGAGTTGCAGAGAATGTTTTAGTTGAAAATATGGATTTGGAGTCATTGGAGTATTCAAAGGTACCTGAATCACCAAGAGATAACACATGGATAGAAGGGTAAAAAAGGACTAACGTTAAGATTCTGGGTAATCCAACAAACAAAGCACAGAATAAATAAAAAGCAAAGGAAATGGAAGAAGATGGTCTGAGGACAGGAGCAAATGATATTCCGGAAACTAAGAGAAGAGAGTTTCAAGAGTGGGGAGTAGAACACAGCTCCAAATGTGGTCAAGTGGTCAAGTAGGATGGACGCTAACGAAAAAAGTCATTCATTTTGGCAATTCTGAATTGAGTGATAATCTTAAGAACTACTCAGTATAGCATAACTCAAAACAAACAGACTTTTAGCAGAGGGTCTAGTAACTATGCCCATTATTCCAAATCCTAATACTTTACTGGGTCAGTATAAATACAACTCATCTTCCTTTTCTCAATGACTCATTCAATAGAATGACACTAAGAAGGAAGACTGGTACATCAACAAGTCAGATCTGTTCTAGCAAAAAGTGACACTGAAGTGGAGGAGAACGAAGGCATGAGAAGCACGTTTCACCTGTGGCCTGGCTTCTGCCTCACCATCTGAGGAACACCCTCACAATCCCACAATATAACAAGCAGTGATGTGAAAAGAAGGAAACAAACTCTTGAAAGCAGAGAAAGGCTAAGCTTAAAGCTTGAGAGTTGATCCCCACCCCCGCCCCGAAGTATAGCCCAGGTCAAAGCAACTTACTCTCCAGTCTAAGGGCCTCTGAGTGTCTCCCTGAATTCTCAACAGAAAGCACGGGGTCCTCCTCTGCTCCCTTCTCAGACGGCTCCTCGTAAGCAGCATCTAGTGCCTGTGCGTTGTCAAAGTATTTCTGCTTGTCGTGGCTGTTGTCCAGGGTTTTCTCATGACAATGACCTCAAAGACAAGAGACACACAGCACATGAGAAACATCTCTCTTATGTAGTTCCATAGTGCAAGGTCCCAAAATATTAAGAGGTAAAAGGTGACAATGCTAATTTTTCTCCAGCAGAATGCACAAAAACCAGTGAGCTGGAGGACCCAAAGCCAGATCATTATTGTGATTTAAGGTTTTACACTGAAGTGCAAGTTATAGCTGCTATGGTACTGGGTTGGTGCAAATACAACTTATCTTACTTCTTTCAATGAGCTAGTCGATAAACGACACTAAGAAGACTGGTACATAAATGAGTAAAATCTGTTCTAGCAAAACGTGAATGAGTATTTTGTTTGGGGAGGCATAAACAACAAAGATCAAGCCCTAAGACCTTATTCCATTCACAATGGCTATGAACTATTTCCTTGAAGTTAAAAATATCATCCAAAAGCTTTTTTTCGTCTTTCAAAGGTGAGAAATAACCAATTAATACCTGAATAAGGCTGAGATAAATGAATTATGGCAGAGAAGTAATAATATTCTTACATTGAAGCTTAAAATGAAATACACCAGGCCAGTGCTGTGGTGCAGGTTAAGCCTCCACCTGTGGCGCCAGCATCTCACATGGGCACCAGTTACTATCCCGGATGCTCCTCTTCTAATCCAGCTCTCTGTTTATGGCCTGAGACAGCAGTGGAGATTGCTCAAGTCCTTGGGCCCCTGCACCCACATAAGAGACCCAAGGAAGCTCCTGATCAGCCCAGCTCTGATCACTGCAGCCACTGGGGAGTGAACCAGTGAACAGAAGACTTTTCTCTCTGTCTCTCCTTGTCTGGCTGTGATTCTGCCTCTCCAATAAATAAAATCTTAAAAAAAGTGAGAGATTATAAAAAATTAAAACCCAAAAAACTAAAGGGGGATGATGTCAGAGAGTTCACATTTAAGACTACAACATAATAAAGGCACCTGTTTTTCTTCTGGAAAACAAGTTCTAATTGTGTGGATAAAAATTTACCTAAGCATAAAATAGCACAACTTGAGTGTAATCCTGGCACACTTTGATATATATATATATATATATATATATATATATATATATATTTTTTTTTTTTTTTTTTTTTTTTTTTTGACAGGCAGAGTTAGACAGTGAAGAGAGAGACAGAGAAAGGTCTTCAGTTTTTCCATTGGTTCACTCCTCAAATGGCTGCAACAGCCGGCACGCTGCACTGATCTGAAGCCAGGAGCCAGGTGCTTCCTCCTGGTCTCCCATGCGGGTGCAGGGCCCAAGCACTTGGGCCATCCTCCACCACCTTCCCGGGCCACAGCAGAGAGCTGGACTGGAAGAGGAGCAACTGGACAGAACCCGGCGCCCCAACCGGGACTAGAACCCGAGGTGCTGGCACTGCAGGCGGAGGATTAGCCTAGTGAGTGGCGGCGCCAGCCCTCTTGATATATTTTTGACATGTTCAGTGAGACTAACATCTACTATAATTTTACCAAATGAGCTGAAGGGTTTTGATTCTATTAAGGATTATATATTAATGTAGACAAATATTCCCATTATTTGGTTTTATCTAATGTTCAATCTCTGGGTAGGGGTATTTGTTAGTAGTCTAATATGTCTGCTGTGGCAGAGACCTGGCTATGGTATCTGTCTCTCCTTTGAACACCAATGGTAAATGCCAGTTGATTTAGTTCACTGAAGATGTGTTGTCTTACTCCCTTATGCGCCATCTATACCGTCATTGAGGAGGCATATTGAGTGGAAGTCCATGACTTTCCTATTAGAGGACAAATACTTTGGATAAGAATGTATGAGTACTGCTATCCTCTACTCAGCAGAACATTCCAACATTTTGCAACATTCATTTTTTAGAGAATGTTCTCTCAAAGAGATAGATGGACCCAATTAAACTACAACCAATGTCACTACAAGAAGTCTCTCTGTGGATTCAATGACATCCTTTTGGATTCCTTAAGAAAGTACTTCTCATAAGATTTCCCTTCACAGACTGAGAAAGCATAATGAACTCAGAATCTTCTTCCAATTCTAATAAATTTGGAGTAAGGAGGTCACATGTTTAGGGAGTAACCTTCCATTTGCCAATTCTACATTATCACTTATTTGAGGATACCAAATAAAACAAGGCTATGTTGCAACAGAATTCTTTGTTTCTAGAGTTTTTGCAGTTGGTTCCAAGATGGTGGAATAGGGAGAGCTAATTGCTCTAGCCCAGGAGAAGATAGTTTTAAAAAAGTGGAGAGGGTGTAGTCTCAGGAAAGAGTTGGGGAAAAAATGGCAGAGGAACCTCTACTGAAATTAGAGGGACATGATAGACATATGTGGAGGGCCTGGGTGCCCAGGCTCGAACTGCAGCAGCCAAGAGCTATGCACCAGCACTGGAGAGTGAGGTGAGACCAGAATGCAGCAGCACAAGCCACTAGTGAAAAAGTGGCAGGAAGAGCCTAGAGGGAACCCGGCCTGGAGCCCTGTAGGGGAAAGTGTACCTACCAAACTAGAGGAGAGGAAAAAAAAAAAAAAAAAAAAAAGGACAGGACAGACACATTTCTCTCTTCCTGATCACTTTACAATGCTCCTGCAACAAGCGGATAGAGCGGGTGCCATTTTGGACATTTGTAACAGCTGCGTCAGTTTGTGTCTGCGCTGCACAGCCAGCCAAGTGGAGACTCCTGACTCTGGAGGGGGAGAACTAACAGGGAGCTAGGAGCCTGTGACTGTGTGAGGCTTCTGCACCAGGACTGTGAAAACAACCAGGGTGTGTGGGAGGACTCATGGTGTGGCTGGGTCACTGGGCAGTCTCAGTGGGAGATGCTACAAGCTCAGGGGTTCCTGGTTACCTGGTGAGAGACACGGGGTGGGGAATCTGAACTTACACCGAGGACTGCACAGATCCTTTGTGTGGGCCTTGGGACAGGGTGTGTGATTATTATACCCACTGGGGCTAGCGCTCAGGCACTGATCGCCATTGAGGAGAGGAGCAAAAGCAGTGTTAAGAGGAAAGTTTATAGCAACAGGTGCTTACATCAAGAAATTGGAAAAGCACCAAATAATTGAGCTATCAATGAGTCTCCAAGATCTAGAAAAACAAAAAATCTAGCAAACCAAACCCAAAACTAGTAGGAGAAAAGAAATAATTAGAATTAGAGAAATCAACAAAATTGAATCAAAAAATAACAATACAAAGGATCATCAAAAGGAAGAGCTGGTTTTTGGAAAAAATAAACAAAATTGACCCACCATTGGCCCAACTAACCAAAAAAAGAGAGAGAAGACCCAAATCAATAAAATTAGAGAAAAAAGGGAAATGTAACAACAGACACCACAGGAATAAAAAGAACCATCAGAAATTACTACAAAGAGCTGTATGCCAATAAACTGGGAAACTTAGAAGAAATGGATAGATTCCTGGACACATACAACCCACCTAAATTGAGCCATGAAGACAAAGAAAACATACACAGACCCCATAAGCAAGACAGAAATTCAATCAGTAATAAAGGCCTTCACAACAAAGAAAAGCCCAGGACCAGATGGATTCACTGCTGAATTCTACCAGACATTTAAAGAAGAAATAACTCCAATTCTTCTCAAACTACTCAGAACAACCAAAAAGAGGGAATCCTCCCAAATTCTTTCTGCAAAGCCAGTATCACCCTAATTCCTAAACCTGAAAAAGATGCAACAGAGAAAGAGAATTACAGACCAATTTCCTTGATGAACACAGACGCAAAAGTCCTCAATAAAATTCTGGCCAATAGAATCCATCAGAAAACTCAGCCATTCAGACCAAGTGGGATTTATCTCTGGTATGCAGGGATGGTTCAAAATTCGCAAATCAATCAATGTGATACACCACATTAACAAACTGCAGAAGAAAAACCGTATGATTATCTCAATAGATGCAGAGAAAGCATCTGATAAAATACAACACCCTTTCATGATGAAAACTCTAAGCAAACTGGGTACAGAAGGAACATTCCTCGACACAATGAAGGCATTTATGACAAACCCATGGCCAGCATAATATTGAATGTGGAAAAGCTTGGAAGCATTCCCACTGAGATCTGGTACCAGACATGGATGCCCACCCTCACTATTGGTATTCAGTATAGTGCTGGAAGTTTTAGCCAGAGCCATTAGGCAAGAAAAAGAAATCAAAATGATACAAATTGGGAAGGAGGAAGTCAAACTATCCCTATTAGCAGACAACATGATTCTTTTCATAGGGGATTCAAAAAACTCCACTAAGAGACTATTGGAACTCATAGAAGAGTTTGGTAAAGTAGCAGGATATAAAATCAATACACAAAAATCAACAGCCTTTATATGCACAGACAATGCCATGGTTGAGAAACAACTTCTAAGATCAATCCCATTCACAATAGCTACAAAAAAAATAAAATACCTTGGAATAAACTTAAGCAAGGTTGTCAAAAATCTCTTTGAGAATTACAAAACATTAAAGATACAGAAGATACAAAAAAAAATGGAAAAATCTTCCATGTTCATGGATTAGAAGAATCAACCAAATCAAAATGTCCATTCTCCCAAAAGCAATTTACAGATTTAATGTGATACCAATCAAAATACCACAGTCATGCTTCTCAGATCTAGAAAAAATGATGCTGAAATTCATATGGAGGCACAGGAGAACTCGAATAGCTAAAGCAATCTTATACAAAAGAACAAAGCTGGAGGCATCACAATACCAGATTTCAAGACAAATTACAGGGCAGTTATACTCAAAACAGCCTGGTACCAGTACAAAAACAGATGGATAGGCCAATGGAACAGAATAGAAACACCAGAAATCAATCCAAACATCTACAACCAACTTATAATTGATCAAGGAGGTAAAACCAATACCTGGAGCAAGGACAGTCTACTTAACAAATGGTGCTGGGAAAACTGGATTTCCACATGCAGAAGCATAAAGCAAAACCTCTACCTTACACCTTATACAAAAATCTACCCAATATTCATTAAAGATCTAAATCT